AATTTGTTATTTGATATAAAAATAGGAAAGAAAAAAATATCACATTCTTCAGATGTGGCTTGGTAAAATACCTTGTCATCTTTCCTTAATCTGCAATCTGAGACAAGAAGAACAAAAAAGATTAAACACATAATCCAAAAATAATGATTCAGCTTCAGAATTGAGTCTGAAAGGCATATAGACATTAGCATAAAAACACACACAACTTCTGCTCCATCGTTACCAGTTGGCAACGGGGGACAACTGAGAATATGGTGAAATGAGTGGGTCACCTGCATGTGAGGCAGAGGGGTCTGTGTCTACAAGGAGAGGATATGATAGGACTACCTGCAATCTACAATCTAGGAAACTCAGGTTGCCGATGTAGCTGGGAGGTAGAGCACATGCTTTGCATGCACAAAGCCCTGGGTTTGGTCCCCAGCACCTCCCCGAAAAAGTCAAAATCTGAGGGTCTCATAGTCTACTCATCCCCGATGAAAGCCGGCCTTGTTGTCTGAGTAGTTAAGTCCTTGCTTTTCCTATGGTCAAGTGATGGAATATGGAAATGATATTTCCAAGTGACAAATACTGACAGCTGAAACAATTTGAACTCTGACTGCTGCTACCATGAACTTCAGAAATAGGACAAAATCCCACCTGGTTGGAAAATGAATTTGTTCTTATTTCAGGCTGTTCATCACCTTTGTTGTTTGAATGGTTGATCATAAGCTCCAGGGTTCTGAGATGTGGCCCCGTCTCCCTCTCCACCCTGCTGCCCTGTGCTTACTAGTCAGCAACAACCACCTGAATTTTGTGGAGTTGCCAATGAATTTCTCTTGGCTCCTTATCTGCACATGTCCCTTCAGTGGTGGAGAGCAGAAGATTTGCATAAACACCACTACTCTGAAAATATACTAGGATCCCATTCCCTTTGCCCATCCCTCATCTTTTTTTTTCTACAGAATATAGAAAATGTCTGTTAATTATATTACATAACGCTATAGCCTCAAGTTGAATTATTATTATTTTTTTAAATCTTACATTTGTCCCCTCAAACTGTTAGTGTTTGAGAAAGCATCTTTGCATGCCCCAAGTATTAAAACTGTCAGGTTTTTTAAGGTGCACCCAATTTTACCAAACAATGTAACATGGTGCAAATTGTTGGAACAGTCCTCAATTTTATGTTCAATTAATCCCATAGGTTTTCTCCAATCTTCCCTTAGGATTTATTTCTAAATAACACTTTAATATTTCTGCTAATTTTGAACTCAAACTCAGTCAGATGCAAAACAGTACTTATCATGAGCTTTTGCCCCCAGCACACGTGGACACTCATTCCTGGAGAAGATGTGGCCAGCTGTTGGCCTCATTCATCCTCCACCATCTCTTCAGAGGTCATATCTCAGTTCCTTGGTTTGAACTTGGGATTCTGGCAATCCTTATCTGACCATTAATTCAAATCAACAGCTTCAAGATGAAATCTGGTTCCTTGATAAACGTCATTCACTTTTCAGAGGAGAAGCTATAGCTGTTTTTCTTATCAAAAAATGTTCCCAGCTATGGTGTAAAATATTGCAAATGATCATTGAGTTATTAACGACTGCAGGGAGAAGATATGTATAGACCTTTGTTCAGCCAAAGGTGGTGGGCTGAGTTTTGCTTGACTGTATATGCTAGAAACATCTAGAAAGTATCTGCTAACATCACACCTCAAAGGAGATGAAGCGAATGTTCAGCAATTTGATAACATGAATTAGATCAAGAAGCTGGTGTTGCCTAATGGCACGGTTGAAATGTCTGTGCAGTATCTTAGACTGTACATTCTTTTCTTAAGTGAAAATGGTGATTGTCTAACATGGTACTAGATTATACCAGAATTTTTAATGCCAGTAGAAAATTCTCCAGGAAGTGGGAAACACTTATTTCTGAACCCATTTAAAAAAAAAAAAAAAAAGAAAAGAATAATGTGTGAACAAGTAATTTTCCTTGCAGCAAACCCAGCTAAGCAGCAATTTCTGGCCCATTTTGAAGTTCTAGCAAGAATCTAATGTGGTTATTTAGTCACTCATGTCGCCAGTCACCCCGACCCTACGGTGCATAAATGCTGGGTTGGTGTCTCATTGCAACGTCGGCTTCTTGGCCTGAAAAGCCAATGAATTAAACACAGCGCAGTGGCCAGCGAATGCCATTCACCAGTAGGTAGTGCATGGATTCAGTGGGAGGAGAGGAAACCCACAAATCTGAGAAGGAGGTGTTGCTGGCCTAGAGAGCCCATCAGAACACTGGCTCTGGAGCCCTGGCCTGACAATCTGCTGAGCTCTCCTGGGGGTTCTCAACCATGAATATCATGCGTGGTGGAATCACGTGGCAGAACGGAACATATTCTGCTACAGAATCTGCTGCTGGGGAGGAACTGGAAGGAGGACGAGATAAGGCCTGATGACTGGGGGTTGGGCAGAACTCCCTGTCCTCTGCTTGCAACTCCTTTCTTGTCCACAGAAGGTGGCCCTTGGGGATTCGAACATGGAACTGGATAAGGAAAGCATGCCAGCAAGCTTCCGTGCCTCAGCATTGATCATGAATTATGGTGCACCTCATGCTTTGTTGTGGTGCTGCTGTTGACGTGTGAGGGTACAAAAATAAACCCAGACTGACCAGTAGAAACGGAAAGTACCCCTGCATCATGCAAAGAACCACCAACAGCAGTTTCCACTTCCATATAAGATACATCTGAAGGCTCGAGAGTAGAGCAGTTACCATGAACGTCCTTCAGTGGATATTTAACATTCCTGTAGGTGCCCCTGGTTGAATGATCCAACCTCCAATTCCAATTATTTTCTTTTTGCTCTTGAACAGATTTCTGAAAAGTGAAATACTTCAATTTCCAGCTCCCTGCAGTTCTAGCCAACCAGATGTAAGTAAAATTCTGCTAGGACTGAGCCTGCTCTCCTCCTTTTCCCTCTCTGTTACAAATGATGATGTAGTGGCAGGAGTTACAGAAACTATTGTGTGATCATGAGGCAACTAGCATGAGGAAAAGGCCAAGAAGACTGCAGGGACATCATCTCACCTGGACTCTCTATTTCTGGTTATGTAATCCAATTAAATCTCTGTTTAAACTATAGGGGGTTGTAACAATACATTCCTAACTGATTGATAGAGAATTCTGCATGGTAAAATCATGAGCAATTTTAGACCTTTTGGCTGCCGGAATAACTTGTTGCACTGCTGCAGTTGTTCACTGTCACCTAAATATGCTACATCTGCACCTCTGTGCATAGACAGGGAACAGGAGCTCCCGATCCTGGAGGAGCCCTGTAGTCTATGGTTTTCCTGAAGTGATTCTTGGGCCTTCTGTCCTCAGCCACCCAGCTGCCAGTACTGTCAGCTCTGTGAGCCCAAGTCCTCAGACCCCAACTCCAAGGGCGACTTTATTGGCCCAAGCATTCTGCCATCCGGGGGTCGGGGGGCAAAGAGAGGAGGTGACTGGAAAGGCTGGGACGGGGAAGGGAGGGCCTTGTCCTGCACCCAGGGGGTTTCCCCAGACACTGGGAGGAGGTGTTTCTGCCAGAGGATATGAGAATAAAGAGCCTGGAGAGGCTGGACAGGAGGGTGGCTAGGAGAGGGGCACCAAGCAGGGATGCTTTCAGGTCAGCCTGGGACCCTGCCCTGAGCCTCTGGCAGCTCTCACAACCCCAGCCCAGCTGGCCACCCACCACTTCACAGCAGCACCTTCGTGTCGAGGTCTGGTCCCACCAGTCTGCACTTCTGCCTCCTGTTCTTGTCAGAGGATGGACCTTGTCACCTCTGCCCAGCACCTGGAGTCTGGGAGACTGACCACCCGCCCAAGCTTGACTGCCATCTCCACAAGCCCAAGCCCTGCTCGCACAACAGACTCAGGGGGTTCTGGTCCGGACACAGGCTCCTCAGTGTGGTGAGCCTCAGGGCTCCTCTGGTGTGGCCAGAGCAAGGAGCGCGATCGCTGATGAGATGAAGTGAGTGTGTGGGAGAGATGCTACCAGATGGGGTCCACTGTGGCGGGAAGGGAGCACCCACCCCCATAGACGCCCGTGGGCCTTGGAGCTCACGTTTACCACAGGAGTAAGCTGAGGGGGGCCGTTACCCGGATCACCCAGGTAGGCGCCTGGAGTCCCAGCCTCACGGGTGAAAGGAGGAGGCAGGTCCTCAGAATCAGAGGGAGAGATGGAAAGACGGTACGCTGCTGGCTTAGAAGACGAAACAGGGTCCACAAGCCACGGAAGGCAGGTGGCCTCTAGACGCTGGCAAGGGCCAGAGCCCCCAAGGGAACACAGCTCTGCCTGCACCCCGATTTTAGCCCAAGAGACCCACTTTGGTCTCTGACCTCCCCAACAGTAAGACGACGAATCCAAATCATTTGAAACCACTGTGTTTATGGCACTTCATAGAGTTGGGAACTAACCGTGGACAGATCCAACCCATGGATCTACTTGGTGTTTTGGAAATCTAGAAATGCCAACTGAGAGTCCAGACTCCCAGCTCCTCCCGGGGGCAGGGGGGAGGGGAAGGGGGGACCAGTAACAATGTAAGATCTGGCAATAATTTTCAGTGTTTGTCTTTATCTATTTAATTAATCAATTTATTTTGGCAGAGCTGGGGTCTGATCCAGGGCCTGGATCACGCTGGGCAAGCACTCTTCCCCTGAGCTACACCCACAGCTCTCTCAGCACTGCTGGGCCCTAGCAGAGGCCCTCTTCAGAGGACACAGGGACCCTGCTGTATCTATCCCCTGTCACCTTTATTTCCTGGCTCTCCTGGCCTGGCTGACCCATCACACAGCTAAGGATCAGAAGTTCGTCTCCATTCTGCCTGGAAGAGTGGCCTTTAACTTGCTCAAATTCAGTCAGGAGGCAAGAATGGGAAGATACAGGGAGTGGGCTGTACCCACGGGAACTTCCTTCCAACTCCATCTCGGGCTTTATCACCAGTGGAACCCACCTGCCTGCCTGCAAGCACACAGGCCTTAGAGCCGGGGAGCTTACCTGCAAACGGTGGTCCCAGCAAGGCGGAGATGCCGTTAGCACAGATGATGATGCCGTAGGCGTTGGCCAGGTGCTCGATGCCGACCAGGTCCTCGGTCACCACGGGCATTAGGGAGAAATAACCGCTGGAAAACCCGATCAGAGCGCAGATGACAGCCAGGCCGGCGTACGTGTGCATGGATGGCAGAATGAAAATGCTAAGGACGAGGGTGAAGTTGGCCAGTAGGAAGACGTTCCAGACGCTGATGCAGGGCAGGTCGGCCACGGCGCCCAGGACCACTTTCCCAAAGATGTGGACTATGGCTATGATCGAAGTCAGAGGGAAAACATCGTTTTGCTCCGATAAATTATACAAATTGACTATTTCTGGCAGGTGGATAAAAGGAATGACAAAGCTGCTGTAGGCAAACAAAGCCCAGAAAACAAAGGCGACAAACATTCGATTAGTAAAGAGTGACGACGCCCCAAAGTAGCCCGAGTACCAGTCCCCGAAGCCCTTGCGGACTCTCATGGTGAGCTGGCTCACGGTCTTCAGAACCCGGAGGGCACACATGTTCTTCCTGTGCCGGGCCTGACCTGGGCACTCCTGGGCTTGAAGGTCACTGAGGGTCTCCTCGTTCCCGGGCCCACCATCCTTTTCTTCCACTCTGCCCGGCGGCCCAGCTGACTTCACGGACTCCACGGAGCAAGCTGGCAGGACCCGGGGGCCTTTCCCCTCTGGCAGGTTTGTGTCTTTCCCGGGAGAGAGGGGCCTCATGAGCGCACCACACACACACAGGTTTAAGGACACGGCACCCTGGATGAACATGGCGTTCCGCCATCCATACTCAGCACACAGGTACTTCAGCAACACCGTCATCAGGAATGTGCCAAATCCTGTCCCTGTGGTGCTGAGGCCCTGGGCCAGGGCTCGTCTCTTCTGAAAATACCTTCCCACCATGACCACTGCTGGGAGGTAGGCCATCCCACTGCCAAGGCCTGTGGGCGAGAGGGAGGAAAAGCACACCGTGTGGCCTCAGTGACCAGAGCCAGAAGGTCAGCATTTAAAGATCCCCGCTAGCCGGACCCGGCAGTGCACACCCGCAATCCCCGCTCTGCAGGCTGGGGCAGGGGGATCACAGGTCCGGGGCCAGCCTCGCAACTCAGTGAGACTGGGTCAAAATAAAAATAAAAAGGGCTGTACCCTTGGGTTCAATCCCTACAGTTCAAAACAAAACAAAAACAGCTACTTCCTTGCTCCATAAATAGGTGTTCAGCAGATAAATGAATAATGAATGAATGAATGTGCAATAATGTTACTTGAGGATCAGTAAGCCATTAACAGTAATGAATAAAATCCCATTTTAAACACAGTCTGACCATTGAAATCTCTAAATGATGAATAAATCTCAAGCCCCAGCTTTGAAGACAAAGTCAGAGACCATCCAACCAAACACCACCACGTCAAGTTCATGAGGGGTCCTGTGAGTCTCCCAGAGTCCTCCCAGAGACCCCAGTGGGGCTCTCTTTCCTCTCAGTAAAAGGAGCATTGAATCTCCTCATCTAGAACCAAAAAATTCTCAGTGCTGGCTGGCTCTTTTCATTGGGCTATTATGGGAAAGAATTTCTAAACCACCCATGGAAAACATCTTAAGTTCTGCTGATGTTTTTGTACCAGGGATTGATCCCAGAGGCCTTAACCATGGAACCACATCCTCCACCCTTTATTTTGAGACAGGGTCTTGCTAAGTTGCGTAGGGCCTCACTAAGTTGCTGAAGCTGGCCTTGAACTTGTCATCCTCCTGCCTCAGCCTCCTAAGCCGCTGGGATTACAGGTGTGCACCACCAAGAATTGTTATCAGGTCTTTCACATCAATGGTTTTCAAACTATGCTTCCAAGGATACAAAAGTGGTGTGTGTGTGTGTGTGTGTGTGTGTGTGTGTGTGTGTGTGTGTAGAAGTAAATTTTAGAGAAATAACTTGGCCATTCATGGAACAATAGGTTTTTGTGTTCACCCCCTGCCTCACAAGGCATGTACTTAACTTATAATAGAATATTTATATTACACTTAAAGTACATACTTAGATATTAGCTAACATCTGCGGAGCCCTTTCTTATGTGTCAAGCATTGTGCTAAGGGCTTCATACAAATTATCTCATCCACTCCTTTCCATAACCATATGATCCAAGCGCTCTTCATCTCCCTACTCTGCAAATAAGGAAACTGAAGTATATAAGTAGGTTAAGTAACTGGATCAAAGTCACACAGGAAAGTGGTTAAAAAAAGGTCAGCACTCCAAACTGAAACTTTTCTCTCTCATGCAATGTGTCATTTATTAGGAGTACTTTTGCTCTGGACTCAAAATGTCAGGCTGGACCAGGTTCACAGCTGCGCAAGGAAGTGGCTACTCATCCTGAGAATCCCACTACCTGTGGATAAGGAAATTACGGCTGGGAATACATTTTGCAGAGCGGATATGCAAACCGCATTGCCCAGCAGTCAATTTCACCTGCTCCCTGGGTAACGACAGCCTCACGGTGCTCTAGCTTGCTTCTTAAACCCTACATACGTGTGGATTTTATGCTATTTCATTAATTTGAACAGGGCTGAGAGAGTAAAGGATCATTCTGATTCATGCTTGATTCTACAGTTATTAGATGAAAGAAGGTTATTAATTTCCTTAATATTTGTCTATTTATCTAAGCCTGCATTGCTACCCTCCGTTTCCTGTTTTTCACATTAGAAAGGGCTAACATTTAGAACCTCCTATTGGAAACTTGATCTGATTCTATTAAGGAGGACAGGACAGTTGTTAGGTTGGTTTCCCACACTTATGGTGCATTTATCATCCTACATGAAAAATGGTTTCCTGGAGCGTAGGGTGGGGTGCGGCGGAGAAGACAGAACAGAATGTTTTAATGGTTCTCTTTTCTCCACAATTAAATCCATTGCCAAAATGCCTAGTAAAACATTTAAATCAAATTAAAAACAAAAACAAAATATGCTTACCAGCTGCCACTCCGAAGGTAAAAAAAAGACAATGCACGTTTGTAGCATAGGCGCTCAGCACCCACCCCAGGGAGTTCAGCAGCCCACCGATGATGGCAGTCCGGCGGCACCCACAGGTGTTAATGAACAAGCCGATGAAAGGTCCTGTCACAGAGGGTTGGGAAGGGAATTGACTAGTGGCACTTCATATTCATGCTTTCTTAGTGCATCCTCATGTGAAGACAAAGAATGAAACACTACTAGAGTTGTTAAATAAGAGCATCAAAACACAGCTTTACATACAAAGTCCTCCTAGCACGCAGAGACGGATAGAACTCTATCTCATCCAAGTGCACAACGCTCTAGGTTTTTAAGGTGGACAGACCTGACATAAAGAGACGAATAAACTGCAACAGACATCCTTAACTAGAGGAAGAGGGGTGATATCCAGCCTGTAGATGCGTTTTGATCCCAAATGAGGTTTGAAATACTTGAAATTGGTTGCTAACATCTAAAATTATGAGAATTTGTAAAAAAAAAAAATCCAGTGGCAACACATACTACCTTCCCTCACAGCTGAGATCGGCTGGAGCATGTGCCCTGTCTCCCGACCCCCGCTGGGTCACACACCGTCCAGGTGGCAGAAGTCTCCACTCTTCCCTCTGGTCTCACACCTGCTGACCTCCCGCTCCTGCCTCATTTATGCCATTTGTTTGGCCTCTTTATACCACTGTGGTTTTGATGCCAGATCTAAAGGGGGCCCAGGAAAGAGGTTCTCAGAACTCTTGTGCTTCACACAGGGTACCTATGGCCTGCGATCCTGAGGACACCCCAGTGCAGACCATGCTGAAAAGGACTCACTGTCACCCTTCAGCCCACTCAGTCCCTCCTGACCCTGCCAGCCCAGGTGGACCCACCCGGCCATGCATTTACAACACTGTGTGGAGATTCAGGAATCCACCTGAAGGCACGGCACGGCTTTCTATGAATCACCTCCTCATGGCCTCCTTTACTCTGATGCTCTAATTCTTAACTTTTTTTTTTTCTCCAATTTTGTGGTAATTTCTAATGTCTCTAAAGTCAAATGCTTGACTTGTGTTCTACAATTTCTTGCTCAAATAGTAATTCATACTCAATGTTCAGAACAGATGGTTCATTTATGATTGTTATTACTTATTCTATATGGTTATGAAACTCTATATTCAGATGGGAATATTCCAAATTAAAAACTTTTTAGGCTCTAAGGAGCTTCCCCTTCTAGCCCAAACTAAAGTTTAAAAAACTTTTTCTTTTGTTTTTTTTGGAACTTAGGATTGAACCCAGGTTGCTCTACCACTGAGTGACATCCCCAGCCATTTTTATTTTGAGACAGTTTCTTGCTTTCTTGATAAGTTGCTGAGGCTGGGTTTGAACTTGTGATCCTCCTGCCTCAGTCTCTAGAGATGCTGGAATTACAGGCTTCTGCCACTGCACACAGCCACACTAAAGTAAAAATTTCTTTTAAAGTTCTAACTATCTTCATGCACATATTTGGGTCCACAGTCTGCTAATGAGTTTATTTTGTCTAGTTTTTTTTTTTTTGATTGGTAGTCCTGGGATCAAACCCAGGGTCATGCATGCTAAGCAAACATTCTAAACTGAGCTACACCCCTAGTTCTGTCTAGTGTTTTTGAAAGTGCCTAATCCTGAACATTATGAAGATGAAGATAAAGACTTGTTAATTTAATTGGCCCTGTTGCATTACAGAAAATAGTACAGTAGATTATACCTCTCAGAATGATTTAATATATTTTATATAAATATAATGTATGCTACATATTAAAATATGCAGATCATGTAAAATGTAAAATAAGCTCATTTGTACAAACATCTGATGGAATTGTTGGGGTAAGTGAAATTAGACACCATAAGTTGAAGAGGTTACTTTGACTTCTTTTTCTTTATTTCTAAACCACTGGTTACTTGACCATGCCAAACTTGGATGAGTGGGTAAAAAAGAAAAAAAATGCATGACTCATGGGTTAGCTGTCAACAGCCCTTTTAAGATACGAAAGGTCAACAGGTCACAGTGCAGCAGCACAGTATTTTCCACATTACAGAAAGGGGCCCAGAAGCAAGTGTTTCCCAGAAACTGTATGTTTATGAAACAGTGCACTAAGGAGACATTTGAGGGGGCGATGAAAAAGGAGGAAATCCCCCAAGTCAGTGCAAATATTCACATCTGGAGGAATTTATAAGCCAGACAGAAAGTATTAACTCCTTTACTGATAAAAATATTAAGTTAATAACAGTTGATAACATTAAGTGGATAACAGTCTGGCTTTCTAGTTGAGTAGAGTCAGAGCAGAAATGCTGTCAATTCTCCATAGTTATGAAATGTAGACTTAAAAAAAACAAAAGAGGGATTCATCCAGGTGGTGTACGTCTGTAATCCAGTTACACGAGAGGCAGAGGCAGGAAGACTGTAAATTCAAAGCCAATCTGGGAAACTTAGCAAGACCCTATCTCAAAATAAGAAATAGAAAATCTGAGGATGTAGCGCAACGGTAAAGAGCCCCTGTGTCCAATCCCCAGTGCCCAAAACAACAAGAGCAATGACAACTTGAAAATAAAAATAAATGAATTTTAAAAATTAAAAAATGGAATTTGAACCTAAACCCAAGCTTTCTGACTCAGTTTCATTATTTAAATATTGCTCATGGTCCAGTCAGCATCACCAAGATCCAATCGCCACTGCCTCAAAATAAAAAAGGAGAAAAACTCCCTGCACGCTCTGCAGAGAGAGGGAGCAATAACGTTGGGACACAGCCCTTGGAAGAGTAATTTGGTGTTTGGAATGGGATTAGGCACACCATCAGACTTCTTCCTTTTCAGGAGTCCTGGACCACTTCCTGCATCACACAGTGCCATTGCTGCAGGAAATCCCTCAGGAAGTCAGCCTGCTTTGCCTGCTGCAGCATCTGATGGCTGGAGAAAGTTCAAGGCCAGCGGAGTCTTGCCAGGGGGAAGGGAGCAGGGTAAAGAGTCAGGAGCCTCTAAACCAATGACCATCTACGTTGGCTCAACACCGGACTCACCTCTCATGCCCAGAGCCCATCCCACGGGATTCTGTTTAATGGTCCAGGTGCAGCCTGAGCATCGGGATTTTTAAAAGCTCCCCAGGTCGTTCTGTTATGCAGCCAAGATTGACAACTGCAGCTCTAAATCTGCTAAGCAAGTAAATTGTCTCTGAAGCCCCACCGGGAATTATTCAAAGAGCTGTCATCACAAAGCTGTTCTAGTTAAGAAGGAGGCGATTACATTTCTTTAAAAGTTGGGACCTCCTGCAGGACACTGGCAAATCCATGCTTGTAAGAAGGAAATGATACATATTTGTTGGATTTGCCATATGCAAATCGTTGCAACAAAATTCATGATTTTTTTCTTTTTTAATTTAAAAGAGGTACCAGGCGCAGGAAGGCACATGTGTTCGCCCAGCAACTCAGGAGGCTGAGGCAGGAGGGTGCAAGTTTGAGGCCAGCCTGGCATAAATGAATGAGACCTATCTCAAAATATAAAATTTCATAAAGGGCTGGGGATGTATCTCAATGGTTGAGGGCCCCCTGGGTCACTTCTCAGTACCAAGAAAGAAAGAAAGGGAAAAAAAAAAAAGAGGTAACCAAAATGTGTTCACAATGATTTGAAAATGAAAACAATTTACACTTATTCATTTCCAATATCTTTTCAGTTCTCACTTGATGTAGCAGCACTGGAGCCCAACAGACTAGGTTTGAAGCTTGGGAGAGTTACTCAGTGTTTAAGCATTACATGATCTTCCCTTCTTAGAGAAGAAGGTTGGCCTCCAGTGTTATAGAATGAATGAGATGGTCTATATAAAATGTACTTGGTATGCAGTAGGTGCTAAATAAAGGGGAATTATTATGTAGTTTCTGGTTTGCAAATGTTCAACATATCTGCAGCCACCGTGTGTTAGGAAGCTTGGGATAATAGACAGCAATTTAACAGACAGGGTCTGACTTCAATCTTGTATTCCTTCTGTCTAAGCCTCCCAGGTTGCTGGAATTACAGAGGGGCACCACCATACCAGTCTTGCCTCAATTTTTCATATGACAAACAGTCCTAGTTTTAACAAGATGAATGCAGAATTAAAGGTATCAGTCGATAATGTTACATATAAAAATGATTTATAAATATTAAATTAACTAATTTATTTTTTTGCAGTCCCCAAAATTGAACCCAGTGGTACTCATCACTGAACTACATCCCCAGCCCTTTCTATTTTTTTTTTTTTTTTTGAGATGGGGTCTTGCTAAGTTGTTGAGGCTGGCCTCCAACATGGAATCTTCCTGATTCAGCTTCCTGAGTTATTTGAATTACAGGCATTATTTTACTTTTAGGTGAAACACCTGAAAATGTTCAGGTGCAATGATAATTACCTCAAAGGATTCATAAAATTAAATATAATTAAATACAATTAAATGAGTTAATGTAAGGAATAGCACTTGGTGTGTATGATGGATGCTTATTAAATATTAGTTGATGGTAAAAGTCATTCGATTTTCAAACTAAAACACAATAGCCATAATAGCATTGTATTTATAATAACTTCCTGGGTTAGTAGCTCCAACTATGTAAGATTTGTAGATTGCTGTGTGGTTGCATTTAATAGAAAATACAAGAATATTTTATTATTTCTTCCTGCTAGGTATACCGGTAACCTTTCTCAAAACAGCTTAATAGATTATTTAAATAACAGATAATCAATGATATTTCAAATAAAAAAACATTAGGACTTTAAAATAAGACTGCTACTTTAATTTAAAATATTACTATTATTATTATGCTAAGAATTGAACGTAGGGCTTTTTACATGCTAGGCGAGTGATCTACTACTAAGCTACAATGTCCACCCCACTTCTCTTTTAAGAAAGAATTCATAAATGTTAAACAAGCAGATATTTGTAATGACAGATAAGGAATTAAAACAAGTATGAAAATAGTTGGTGATCTCTGTTTAAGGTGCTCTAAATTGTGCAACACTGAGCAGGCATGTCACACAAAAAAGGCGTAAATACTACACACTTCCACTTACCTGCCATGCCTGGAAGAGTCGAATTCCTAGAGAGAATGGTGGTGGCCAGGGGTGGGGAGGTGGGGATGGAGAGCTGGTGTTGACTGGGGACACCAGAGTTTCAATGTGGGAAAGTGAAAATGCCCTGCACATGCAGGGAGGGTTGTTCAATACAAATATACTCAGTGGCCCTCCACTGCAAACCTAAAAATGGTCAAAATGCTAAATTTTAAGTTCTTTATATCTCACCGCAATGAAACCAGCAACATCACTAATCTTTAATATCTAAAGAGACAAGGGACTACTTAAAATGGGGAGCTGTCGTTTCCTCCCTCAGGGTTGGGGCAGCTGCTCTGGGAACCTACCGACAATCAAGGTGATGCCCATGCTCAGGGAGCTGACCCATGCGGTCAGGCCGCGGCTCTGGTGGAACTCCTCCAGCCACTCCACGTTGAGGACTCCCAGGGCCATCTGGGAGCCCATGATGAGGATGTGCACAAAAAAGGAAGAAAGGACCATCATCCAAGCCCATCCGCCATCAATGTTTGGGTGGGGCTTCACTGTCTTCTTATCCTTGGGGTCCTCTTCAAAGTCATAGCCAATATCTTCGTGACTTGTGTACATTTTCCAAGATTTTCTGTAATACAGAGAACAAGTAACTTAATGGAACATCAAAACAACAACAACAAAAATTATCCTCAGATTCTTTGGATAGTGGCTCCAGTGTCACATCAGATTGATCTTGTCACCGTGCAGATTTGGGAACACGTCTTACCTCTTCACAGGATTAAATGCTTTTATGAAACCTGTTTCACCTTCGCAGTCATCCCATACGTAAGTATTAAAATCTTAGAAACAGAGAAGTGAAGTGACTTTCCCTGGGTGACAAAGGAAGGGAGGGGAGAGTAGGGAGAAAGGGGGAGAAAGAGGGAGGAAGGAAGAAGAAAAAATGGAAGAGAGAGAGAAAGAGGATGATGATGATGACGATGAAAACTAATCCCAGAGGCGGTGGGATGGGTTGGTCCTGACCAGCCAGAGCCTGGAGAAGGGTGAGGGGCGGAGCTAAGAGGTCAGTGGTGGGATGGAAAGTTGTACTGATGTTTAATTTCTTTGGTGAACTAGGGAGTTAGATACTTGCTGAGAATGAGGGGGGTGGAGGTTGTGTGGGGGCCTCTGTGTTCAAATTAATACAACAGACTGTTGCCTACAACAAGTGGAAATGGTTGTTGGTCAATTCCAAAGACCAAAATGAGCCCTATGGGGCGCTGCTCCAAGCTATGGGTGGTGGGACACCAAGGACAGAGCCAGGAAGCTTGCTACCCCAGGGTCCAGAGCACTGTGGAGCATGATGTGTAGAGAATTTCTCTCTCTCTCTCTCTCTCTCTGTACCAGGGATTGAACCTAGGGGTGCTTAACCACTGAGCCACATCCCCAGCCCTTTTCATTTTTTTGTTTTGAGACAGTGTCTTGCTAAGTCACTCGGGGCCTCACAAAGTTGCCAAGGCTGGTTTCGAACCTGTAATCCTCCTGCTTCAGCCTCCTGGGCTGCTGAGATTACAGTTATGCCTGGCTGAATTTAAAGCAATAATAAATGGCTACCGGTTGGTCTCCTTTTTTAAATTATTGCTACGTGATAGAAACTCTAGACAATGACACTGACAAACACTCTGCCCTGAACATTTGTTTGGCTAAGTTCTAAACAATTCTGTTGCGTTCAGTAGGTATGCTTCAAATGAGGCTGTTTTTATTACTCATTCATTTGAAATGAAAGTTATTTCAAACCCCTGGTTTTACACCTGACCTAGATACACGTATCCCTAGCTACACATTCATCTAGAGAGTAAGCTCTTGAGAGTTCAGGATTGTTGGAGCCCCTGGCCCAGTCCGTGTCTGCAGCCCCAGTGGCACTCCCCCTGGCTGCCCTCAGAGAACACTGAAGACCCACAGTGCCCTCAGCAGAACATTCCAGAGGAGCACCGCGGGCACGATTGTTACAGAGACAAAGAACCAGGACTTGAGTGACTTTGCTTCTGTCACTCTATGTTCCCACTCGAGATAACCTTTTTTGTTTAAAGCTTAAAAGAGTGAAGCAGGGTACAAGTTTTTGAGGTGGAAAAAACAAAACCTGGGTTTGGCAAGTGACATTTTTAGTTGATACTATACATGAAATCTCTTACTCCACTTGAATACCATGTTTAAAACTGAAACCTACTCTTACTTATTATACAGGAGAAGAACATATAAAAAAATAGTGATGACTGTGACACAATTACGGAGAATCATTTTGTTGTCACGGGGGAGGGTGATATACAAAGTGATCCATTCTGGGGTCAAATACACGAGGAAGCCCGTTGTGGGGATGTTCTCAGCAGCACTCTGCTGTGGAAAGGTGGGAGAGTGTGAAAGAAATGCAGAAATTGTCAAAAATCAAAATGGAGTCACTTATGTCATCTCTACCAAAACAAGTGACTCAAAGCCAGGAGGCTAGGAAGGAAGTGTTCTTACATGCAGTTGCCGGTTAGTTTCTATCAGTAAGACTCTGCTAGACAAACTCGCGGAGGCCACTGCAACCGTATACAAAAAGTGCTTCCACAAGGAAGCCTGCTCAGCAACGGTCTGCTCAACCTCGGACTGAGGTTGCTCATGTTATTAATCATTCCGATCAAGGCTTATTGTTTCAAAATATCTGATGTAATCCTTCTTATTTCTGTCTTTAAAAACTTCCTGTTGCATGACCTCCTTAAATAAACTGTAGTTTACTAGGGCATGTGTATTCTGGCACAGTACTTGGCTACTTCTAAATAAAATATCAGTTTTCTTTGGTGAATCTCCTCTTTGATAGTTGCTTTTATTTATATTGACAAGAGAAAGCAGATTGTGGCAAACGCACAGCGCTGGTAGCCTGTGTCTGTACACACCTGAGCTATAGATGATGATTATTATTAACCTTTTCTTTTTCCCCTGATGCTGAGTTTTGAATCCAGGGATGCTCTGCCACTGAGTTACATCCCCAGTTTTTTTCATTTTTAAAATTTTGAGACATGGTCTCTCTAAGTTGTCTAGGCTGGCCTCGGATACTCCTGCCTTAGTCTCCCAAGTTGGTGGGATTACAGGTTATCATCTCAAGAACTTAACGTATGCCCTGATCCTTTAGAGGAAAAGTTGTGGATCCCGGCAAGATAACATTAGTTCTGACGAAGGGCTAACTGGGTGGGTCTGCTGGGGGAAATGGCTTCTGGGGAATCAAGGACATCAGGGAGGGGCAGAGTGGCTCAGTGGTCACTGCCGGGCCTGGGCAGCCCTCCCTCTAAAGCTCTTCTTACACGGCATTTCCCCACCATCAAGTTATCCTTGCGATCAAGCCCAAGCCCCCTTCCTTGGTGACCCCAGTTGCTCCGGTGCTCAGGCTGCCGCCAGACTCTTCTCAGGTCACCTGCTGCCCCTGCCTGACCTCTTTGCCCCCCACGGACTCTCCTTCCCTCTCCTGGGAACAGGCTCCTCTCCTAGCCCTCATGGTCCTCTTCTGCTCTTCCTCCAAGACTCAATTGAATTAAACTTGAGGTTAAAAAAAAAAAAAATCTGAGAACGCTTATAACACCCAACGTCAGAGAGCTGTACTTGTGAAACAATGACGGCGGGTGGACACGGTGCCCGTCTGCCACCCACGTCTGTTTGAAGACGTGGAGAGAAGATCACAGTCAAGTGTGAACTGTACACCAGAGATACCAGGTGGGCACACGCAATCATCCCTTTGTGATTGCTGCTGTCCAAAACGTGTGTCTATAAGAGAAAAGAGTGGAATGAACCAAAGAAAGGGGTTAATGGAAATTATTCTTTGAATGATATAGTCTTTTAAGGAATTTCTCCTTCCTTTTTAATTTATCTTATTGGCTAAAAAATTCTAAATAAGCATATATTATACGGAAATAAAGTTTCCTTCTTATCTTTTAAATATCTAAATCAATCTCTTCCATCCAGGCAAATTAGTGGTTAAGTTATAAAAAGAGAAATAAAAATAGTTCAAGAGTCATTGGTTGTGGGAAACTGTGCAGTCTATCTTGGGGTCCAGGTTCACATGAGTGCAACAATGTGTGAGTGTGCGCACGTGCCCGTGTGTACTTATGTCTACCTTCCACCCGCCTCCCCAATGTTAGAGCCTGCAGGGGGCTAGAAAGGAAGGGCAGCCCTGGCTCCTCAGACCCACACAGGGAAGACCCACACTGTCGAGGGCCCAGGGGATGAGCCTAGAAGGGATCAAAGGAGCCAGAAAGAGCACTACACAGCTTGACAGTGTGAATGGCCCACAGGAGTAAGGACACCATTTCACAATCAGCTGTTTAATAAGGTAACAACAGAACTTGGTATTTTCCTAAAGTCTACTTACAACTGAAGTCTTTGAAGTAACAACAGCGACAACACTGTAATTTTTCAACCCACAGGAAAGTGCTTGAAATATTGAACACTTTTCTAAAGTAATGTTAAGAACTTTATATTCTTACTGAATTATTTATTCTATGGGTTAAAAGATGCAGTTGCTGTCGTGAACTGCTCTCAGCATTTCCAGTTTATCTGTTCATAAATAAATGACATTGAACAGCACTTAATGGACAAACTTTATTCAAGAGGCACCACAGTGCATGAAGAGTACAGTATCGAATATGGGGGGGGCAAAAAAGAGTTTGTTTAGATCTTGGGGGGCCTCTACAGTTCTGCCAGACAAGATCGTCATTTGTTGACAAAATCATGGAATTTGCAGGGAAATGGGTGGCATTAGAGCAGATTATGCTAGTTGAAGCTAGCCAATCCCTAAAAAACAAATGCCAAATGTCTTCTCTGATATAAGAAGAGCACGAGGAAAAGATTAACGAGAGGTGGGAGGGAAAGGGAGGGAGAAGGGAAATTGCATGGAAATGGAAGGAGACCCTCATTGTTATACAAAATTACATATAAGAGGAAGTGAGGGGAAAGGGAAAAAAAATCAAGGGAGAGAAATGAATTACAGTAGTTGGGGTAGAGAGAGAAGATGGGAGGGGAAGGGAGGGGGGATAGTAGAAGATAGGAAAGATAGCAGAATACAACAGTCAATATGAAAAAACATGGATGTGTAACCGATGTGATTCTGCAATCTGTATACGGGGTAAAAATGGGATTTCATAACCCACTTGAATCAAATGTATGAAATATGATATGTCAAGAGCTTTGTAATGTTTTGAACAACCAATAAAAAAAAAACAAAGAAAAAAAGACCGTCATTTGTACTTTACACATAAATCTCCCTAAAAATAATTACTCTCTGACTAATCACAGTTAATTTATTGTCCAACTACTTTAGCTAAAACAAAAGACAACAGAAAAATAAGTGTTTATCTTTTGGTATGGTTAACTTCCCTCCAAAACTCATGTTGAAACTTAGTTGCATTGTGAGGCTAGCTACAGGTGGACCTTTAAGAGGTGATTAGGGGGCTGGGGATGTGGCTCCAGCGGTAGCGTGCTCGCCTGGCATGCGTGCGACCCGGGTTCGATCCTCAGCACCACATACCAACAAAGATGTTGTGTCCGCCGAGAACTAAAAAATAAATGTTAAAAATTCTCTCTCTCTCTCTCACTCTCTCTTTAAAAAAAAAAAAAAAAAAAAAAGAGGTGATTAGGCCAGGAGGGCTGTGTCTGCACCAGGGAATGAAGGCCATTATTACTAGAGTGGGGAGTTATCTTGGGAATGGGTTCCTGATAATAAGGATGCATTTGCCTGATTTTTCTCTCTGTTTGGGGCATGCTTCCACGTGTTAAGATCTTGAGAAAGTCCTCACCAGCTCTGGGACCCTCCATCTTGGACTTCCCAGTTTCCAGAATTGTGAGCAGAATAAACTTCTATTGTTTATAATTTACCTAATCTGTGGTATTCTGTGATAGAAACAGAAAACGAAGACATCCCCCTTCTTCTAAATCTGCTTTGAGAATTTTAGCATTTATATAGTTATAAAATACAAACTCATTGTTTCAGTGTTACCTGTCTATACTAGAGAAAGACGGCAGAACTAGGAGAGGGTATCTGGACTGCCCTGCTCCATGTCTTTCCCACTGTATGACCTTCAAGCTCCCCGACCGCCTCTACGTCCTGACACACAATACACGTGTGTGGCACACTGGAGTGGATGGAGGCCGTCGGGGTGGGGCTTCTGCTAAGTATCCACAGTAGAACGTACATACATTCTAGGCAAATCTGCTGCCGGTAGCTCAGCATGAAACAGTAGGGCTTCATCCTGGAAGAGGCGAAGGAAGGAAATGGGAAGGTTATGGAACCTACAGTCAACTTTCCTTACTCTCCAAATGGGAGTTTGTAAACTATGGAGAAGAAATATAAGGGGGAGAGGATAAAGAAACACATATAGCCTTTGAAACGGGGTCCGCTAAGTATACAAGTAGTCGTGGACAAAAATGAAGAGAATAACTCCCCTCCCCCAAAGTGGGGATGGAACCCAGGGTCATTCGACATCCCTAGCCCATTTTTACTTTTTTATTTTTAAGATAGCAGCTAGCAGATAGCCAAGTCTGCTGACCTGAAAATTGTGATCCTCCTGCCTCAGTCCTCCCAGTGGCTGGGATTACAGCCTGTGCAGCGATCACACACTCACACATGGCTATACCAGTTCTTTCTGGAATGTACCAGAGTTTAAAACAAAATTAAAATTTCCACAGTCCTGTTAAGAGAGTAAGTTTTACAAGTAAATTGTTCATTTTTAATTTGGCGATTGTTATTATGTGCATGTCGTGAGCTCATTATAAGAAAGAGCAAAGGAGTACACTTTAAGATAAAACTAAACTGTCAATCTTCCCAAAAGATGGGCCCAACAAGCAGAGCTCAGTCTTCACCAGATGCACCCATAAGGTGGGTTCACCTTTACTTTGACCCTCCTTGGGTACTTCTGCCTTCTAAACAGGGAGTATAGAGGAATTTGGGGGCCTATAGAGGGTGTACTTGAGGTCAAGAGGCTTAAGAGCTGGAGCAGAGAAGGCTGGGCAGCCAGGCCGGGCTGACAGTCAGTAGCCAGGAACCCCAACTGACTTCATGTCAAATTGGGGAAACTAAACATATAAATGCCTCATGTGGTTCGGGACTGTGTTGGGTGGCTTCTCCACTACAAATGATCTTGCCCATAGGTTTCAACGTCCCCACTTCACAGATGAGGAAAATGAGTCAATTGTCGAATGGGAACATTGAAGTTTAGAGAGGTCAAACTATTGGACAGTGGAGCCCAAATCTGAAGCAAGCCTGCAGGATCCAAACCCTCACCTCCGGAGCCTCTCTCCCTCTCCCCATGTCTCTCTTTCACACACGAAGGCGAAAGGGAATCTTTCTAATTTCAAATAATAACCCTCAATCATCCTTGCTCATGATCCTGAACCAACTTTAACGGAGAAAGGAAACGGCTTCACGGGCAAGCAGAGTTGAGCTCCTACAACACCAACGGGAACTGGGCAAGCACTTAGCCCTGAAATGGCAGTCCCTGGGTCCTCGCCCCATTTTGGTCCTTTGGTTCCTCCCGGGAGGCGCCCCCGTTGGAACAGCTAAGGGTGGACAGCATCTGTCGCGCAGATCTTGCCCGCAGGACCCGGCCTCCGTGCCCCTCCCTCTGTGTACCCGCCCAGGAAGGGAAAACCCTGAGGGTGCCGTCCCCACCCTGGGCACCCCGCGTCCCCGGGCGCGCTCTGGACCGGGCAGCTCCGTGAGGAAGCCAGGACGTTCACAGTTCCTGCAGCTTGCGTGGAAGACGTTCCGCGCCCCCATAGGTCCCTAGCCGCAGCCTCCGGTATCCTCTCGGCCCCTCACGGTCCAATTCGAGTCCCAAACTCGGGCCTGGAGAGCGGCGGGGCCGCGAGGCTGGGCGCGGGGCAGAGCGCGCTTTCCAGCCGCGCGGGGGGTGCCCTGGTGGCGCGCGCGGGGCCGGGGCGCAGCGGGGAGTGAGACGCGCGTCCCCACGCTCCGCCCGGCGCGCCGCCTGGGACCGCCGCTTGCCCCGACCGCCTCCTGCAGCTCGCGAGCCCCGGGCGCGAGGCCTTGGCACGAGCTCCGCGCCCCGCGCAGGCCTGCCCTCACCGCCCGGCCGCCTTCTCCGACCCTGCCCCGGGCTTGCACCACCCCTTCCCGAAGATCAGTGGGGTGCGGCGGCCACTCGAGTTCCCCGACTGCGAGATGCCCCCGCGCCGCTCCATCCCTGGGCCCGCGGCTCAGCGCAGCCCCGGGACACTCACCGCCCGCAGCCCGCCGGGCTGCACTTTTCACTCGGCTCCGGGCACAGACCCCCGAACTTGCTGCTCCACTCGGAGCCCCCGAAGCAGCTGGGTGTACAGATGTGTTGCAATGTCGCCTATCATCCTGGAGATGTGGGTGCCTGCGCCTCGGCTCTCCGCCCGGCTCCGAGCGCGCTCGGTGCGGGGCTCCCGGGCTCCTCGGTTGCTAGCTGCCCGGCCAGGTGAACGTTTTGCGGAGCTTAAAGCTCAATGCCTCAATCCGGGTGGCTTTCAAAAGGGTGCATCTGGAGGTGTCGGAGCCTAATAATCTGAGCTTCCTTCCAATCGGTGCAATTTCATATCTCCACGCTGGTTCATTCCTGTACCGGCTAATTCTGGTTTGGCAGGGAAAAAAAAAAAATCTTCAGTCACCTCACAGGCACACTCTTGTGGCCGGTTGAATTTTATTGCTTTGGCTGAGGTTCCCTGATGCTCTGCTCATTTGTAACCCAAGGAAAAGGCCATAAACCTGATCCAGAACACAGAGGAAAAGAGAAGTATCTTCTGTTTCTCTAGGCTAGATCAGAAGTGATCAATCGGATCCTTACTTAAGTCTAGGTCACAAAATATAGCAGTTTATACAACAAAGAGGAGAAGGACAGGACCTGCAATATTCTTAGCCTCAAAGGACTGAGAAATCCCTTATCCTCTGCCTCACTCTGGGTGCCACCTCTTTCCATTTTTCTGCAGTGTCTATTACCTGCATTCACAGGGCACCAGACACACACACACACACACACACACACACACACACACAATTCATCACACTATTCCCACCAGGGCAGCCCACACAGTGGCTGGCCCTTGGAAAGCGCTCACCTGTAATCTCAGCAGCTCCAGAGGCTGAAGCAGGAAGGTGGAAAGATCAAAGCCAGCCTCAGCAACTTAGAGAGATGGTGTCTCAAAATAAAAAAAAAATTAATCAGTCTCAGAAAAAGCAAGGCGCTAAGCAACTCAGGGAGATCCTGTCTTTTAAGTAAAAAATACAAAATATGGCTGGGGATGTGGGTCAGCAGTGGTCATGTGCCCCTGAGTCCAATCCTCCATATCGAAAAATAAATAAATAAATAATTAAAAATTAATAGAAGATTGGGGACGTGGCTCAGTGGTCAAGTGCCCCTGGGTTCAAGCCCTGGTACCAAAAAGAAAATAAAAGTTTTCAACATTTGTTAAGTGAATATGTGAATAAATGAAGCCAGTGCTCTTGTGTCCCACTTGAACAATGCTGCAGCTTTCTGTTGTCATTGCTATAAAATTACTACTAACTCAGTGGCTGAAAACAATAGCTTCGTTATTTCATGGTTCTGGAGGCCAGAACTGGACCGGGCTCACTGGGCTAAAAATGACAGTGTTGACAACTGAAGGGCTGTGTCCTTTCTGGCAGCTCCAGCAGAGAGCCACCTTCTGGGCAGCCCGAGTTCCCTGGCTCTTCCCCAGTTCCTCAAACTCAGACTCAGCAGTGTAGCAGCATTCCCGGTCTGCCTCCATCCTCAGACCACCCTCTGCTCCTCTATCCTGCCTCCTCTTCTACTTTAAAGGACCCTTGGGATATGTGGGGCCCATCTGGATATCACAGACACTGTCCCTCCTTTAAGATCAGCTGACCAGCAGCCTCTATTCCACGTGCCCCTCTTTGCCATGTAGGGCAACATATTGTCAGGTTCTAGGGATTGGGATGTAGACATCTTTGGGAGACCAGCACAGATTTCCTTCTGTCTCGCATCCTTTCCTTACTTTCTTGAGGGGAAAAAAAAAAAAGCCACATGGATTTTTTACATTGTTTCTTACATCCATTCTTAGTTCCAAAATCATTGAGATAATTGTGAGAAATTGTGCTTAAATGAGGACATTTTGGTGAGGCACTAGAATGAGGTGGTCTAAATCTTTTGCTTTTGAGAACAGGAGCAAATGGATGGAGAATACTCGTGGGCTATCCTCACGTAGCACTCGTTTCAACAAGGCTTTTGACAGAGAGTCAGGATTGGGGTTCCTGGTAAGTAGCTCAAGTACAGATGACCTATCTTGTTAGCAAAGAGGTCTGTAGGATTTTTAAGTCTGTTTTTATCTGTCTCTGAAAACTTGCAGATTTATTGAGGTATGATTGGTATAGAATGAACTGCACATATATAAGGGATCAATTTTATACTCCCGAGTTTTAGCATAAGCCCTTGGAACCATAACCTGAATCAAAGAACTCCGGAACTTTCCTAATGCCCCTTTGTAATGTGAGTCTCAGTATCCCCAGGCAGCCTCTCATCAGCTCTCTGAGAAGCTTCTACCCTGGACTGTGGATGCTGTACATCTAGAAACCCCATGGAAGGCCTTTCCGAGAAATCTTGTCTTCACAGATTAGTGTGCTCCTACCTGCCTGGTGGTCTCTCCTTGGCACAGGTAGGTTAAGAGCAGTTTTGTGACCTCCCTGTCACCCCTGAAAGGGACCTACCTGGGATTCATGGGTTAAAATGTCTGTGTTGAATGGATGGAAAACCTCATGTATCAGAAGATAAGAGACAGGCACTGAATCTCCACGTGTCTGAAGGGCAGGACGCTGGAGTCATCTCCTGATTTTAGGCATAGAACCTACTGTCCCACAATCTCACCTCTAACTGAACCCTGCCCATTAGGAAGGGGAAATGATTGGGGTGCTGCCTCTCATAGCCGACCTCTAAGTTCCAGTCGTGTACGCAACTGATTTGACCATTTCCTGTTTGGAGTTGGAGTGGAACTAAGAATTTGGTAATCTGTGCTTAATTCTGCTGGTTGAGTGGCATGGTTTGGGCATGGAGTGTCTGATTTGAGGACATCACTAACACATAGCATGGAAGATTTTAGAAAAATGCGCTGTAGTGTCACTTTTGCTAGCCAGTCCAGATGTCCAGATTGCCTGAAACCTGCATGGTTCTCCAGGGACAGAACTGTTGGTCTCTCAGGCCGAAGGCAGCTTCTTCCCGGCTCTCTGCCCCACTCCTCAGGGTTTAATGGAGGAAGACCGAGGATTGTACTGGGAATGCCCATACTGACCTGTATCTGTGCTCAGAATCCCAGACAAGCCACATGGCACAGACTGCAAAGCTTCAGGACGGAGGAAGGAAATGCTTTGACCCACACAGGTCCACAAATGCAACCCTGCACTTCTTGGCTGTAAGGTCAGTCTGTGCCCACCCATCATCTACCACGGAATGGATTCTTTCCCCCTTAAGGGAGGGTGCTTTTACCAGGCGGGACCCTGGTTTCACCATCTCAGAAGTTATCTTGCAGCTTTTCCTGCTATTGTCAGACATCAGCAAGGCTCAGTGGGGACAGAAGCAGGCTGGCATCTTGTGACAACTGCCACACAGGATGACATTGGTCATGGCTTCCAAGAGTTCCACAAATGTGTTTTCAATTTTTAACAAGGGGCTCATTTCAAGCTTGATCCCTGAACTGCATGTGCTCATTGTTACTTATCAGCTGTTCATTTATTCTTTCATTAAACAAAAATACTTGCTCAGTGTTTATTAGGGGCTTTTATGAGGCACTGGGACATGGAAATGATCAAAGTCAACAAAAATGCTTTCCCTCATTAAGCCTATTGCTCCAGTGAGTAAACGAGAAATAATAGGAAAGTGATATCCGCAGCGTGCGCGTGCGTGTGTTTTGCAGGTTAGATGGTAATGAGTGCCAGGGAGGGAAAATCAGCCAGGATGGGGAATTTGAAGGACTGAGGTGGTGAGAAGTTTTAGGTGGGAGGGAAAGCTTCAGCAAGAATGTGAAGTCTGTAGGAATAGGTCATGTGAATATCAGCAGGAAACTCATTCTAGCAGAGGAAGCCCCAGATGCCAGCCTGGAGGCACAGGAAGTACCTAAGGGTCCCCCCAAAGCCTTGAAAATCACAGAAGGAAAATTGACATTGATTCAGTGATGGGAAGCCGTTGGAGAATGTTGAGCAGGAGTGGTGCTATGAGCAAATTGATGTCTGCCAAGATCCCACCAGCAAAGAAATAGATTGAGAAGAGACTGTGGGGGAGCAGGGGCAGCGGCAGAAAACCAGTTAGGAGACCATGACACCATGTGAGTGTGAAGCATAATGGAACATAATGGTGGACAGGGATTGAATTCTGAATATCCTTTGATGGCAGAGCCCAAGGATCTTTCTCACAAAATGAGTGTGAGGTAAGAGAGAAACAGGAATCAAGGATGACTCCAAGGTCCCACCCCAAGTGACTGGAAGAGTGGAGCCACCATTAGCCAAGAAGGGAAGACTTCAGGAGGAGTCTTCAGGTTTGGGGGAGATATTAGGAGCTCAGATTTGGACTGGTTCATATTTTGCTTTAATGAGGCTTACATAATCAGCCAATGGTGAAATATTATATAGCAATCGAAAGGACCAGCCACTTCAACTCATGATAATATTTTTTGATCTTAGCAGTCAATTATTAGGTTGAAAAAAAACACTTTATAGACTTACACCAATTACTTTTAGATGCAATGAAACTGTATGAAGTGGGAAGCTAGGGATGATGAACTTGAGATATAAGTGATGGCTAATCAGGTTGATGGGCACAGGGAAATGGGATGGGATTGCTAGATGTGCTTTACTGTCATGCTCCTAGCTTTTATCTGGGTGTTGGGTTAATGGACACATACATCATTATTAAAAACAACTATGATCAGTGGTACTGATTCCAGGAATGCATGGTTAGATTGACATCTGAAAACCAGTTAATGTGATATATTGTGTCAAAAGAACAAAACCCATAAGATCATCTTACTAGACACAGAAAAGCATTTGACAAAATCCAACACAATTTCATAATAGAAACACTCAACAAAGTAACAATACAAAGAATTTCCTCAACTTGATAAAGGGCTCACATCACACTCAAATGGTGAAAGAGAATCCTTCACCCAGAAGGCAGGAATATGAGGATGTTCATTCTTAACCACTTCCATTTGATGTTGTACCAGAAGTTCTTCTGAACATGGCAATTAGGCAACAATTGATTAATTAAAAAGAAAGAGTAAAATTATCTCTCTATATTCAAATAATGCAGTTATATAGAGAAAATTTTTAAAAAATCCACCAAAAATGTTAGAACTCATCATTGAGTTCAATGAAGTTTCATCTACAAGATCAGTGTTTGAAACCAATGCATTTCTGTACATTACAATAGCATTAAAATACTTTTAAAAAATTGACAACAACGTTAAAGGAAGTTGTACTCTGAAAAATCACAAAATCTTATTGAAAGAAACTAAAGAAGACCTAAGTGAATGCAAAGACACCCCTTAGGTACTGGTGGACCTTCGGGCCCCATGCTTTCTGTGTAAGCCTGGCTCACTGGGCTGGGTCTCCAGCTGGGCCAACTCTTGCTCCTCTGCAAG